CGTTTGGTCTTGCACTCCTTCTTGGCTGCTATATATATGAGCAGCAAATGTTGAAGAAAGATAAACAATACTCAACTCAACATACAATTCGCTCAACAAATTGGCTATACATTGCACTCCTTCCTCTCAGAACTTCCATACGTTTTTCTGAGTATATACTCCTTCGTTCTGCATTGTTTTTTAACTTCAAACAAAGCAACTGTAAGTGTGATTTGCTACCGAACTTTGTGTTCGCCGAAACACTGGGGTTTGAAGTACCGCTACACCAGTGTGTTATTCGTTCTATCCTGGGAGGAAATAATCCATTACCTTGGGTACTAGGAGGGGATTAAATTCCTTAAGGAAACACTGTGAATTCAGTGGGCTCGAATTTATTATTATTGTTTCATTACGTTAACTTATATTTTGCAGAATTAATATTTACAAATACAGCAATATTGACCGGGAATAACAGTAGCATGCATGCACCCCACACATCGATTTATCAAATAAACATAACATATAAAGAATTCATATAGTTGATGCCAACTAACTTGTGATAATTTCTATTAATAACCGTTACAGTAAATTGAAGGGAGTAAAAAAATATCCAAACTTTACATAAATTACAGACCTTTAAGCACAACTTCCAAGCAACTCAAACACAAAAATTGACCAATCCCACTAACTCTTTAGCAATATAAAAAAATCATATAGCTGACGCCAACTAAATTGTGATCGATTATACATTAAAATCAGTTAAAGTAAAAATGAAGGGTAAAATAAAAAAAGATAAATTACCAGGTTGAAGGGTGGCTTGTTGAAGAGAAGTTTCAGCAAAAGAACGGACTTGTTGATTTGGGTCAAGAGTTGCATTTAAACAGTTGATAAGCCATTGTTGATCTTGATCCATTGAATTTATAACACACTTAATTCTCTGCCGTTTGAAGGGTTTTTTGCTATATGGGTGTCAGTCACTGTGAGTGTGTGTGTGTGTGTGTTGGAAATGAAGAATGAGACAACTTCACACTTTCTTGGGGCAAATGGGAGGGAATTTGGGTTTTTGTAATGTGGGGGTGTTTATATGTCTCGTTAGGGTTTTGTCCGGTTTAATTTCAGCAACTGGTATCACTTCTTGCCCGACCGGGTTCACCAGCCCCAGCGGCTTTTTTCCCTAACCCAGCTGCTTCTCACTATTAAATTTTAGGTATCATTACGCAAATAGCCGGCTGGATTTATTATTTGCTTTCGTGTAGTCGGTATACATAAATTATATACTTATTATCCATAATTATATTATTTTATACTTGAATTATATATATATTATATATTCACCCGCTATTTTTAATCAATCAATTTGGTAAGCGACTATTTAGGTTAATTGATCAAAAAATTTAATAGACAACAACAAAAAGTGGCCAACTACATAAACGGCCCAAACTTGTCTGATACTTTCATTTTGACACGTAATATAGCGGGGGAAGTGCACAGATAGCCACTGATTAGAGATGTCTTTACTTTTTAGTCACTGTTTTAAATGTATTTACTCATTAGTCAGTGCTTAATAAATTTTTATCCGCCGGACAAAAATATCCCTGTACTAGACATAGGTGTTGTGTAAATATTAAGGACATGGTGTCCTTAACTTCATGAATGTTGTGTAAATATTTAGGACAAAGTGTCCTGTATTTGCACCTTCTGCTGCTAAACTTTAGGACATCATGTCCTTAACTTCATATGTGCAGTGTGAATGTTAAGGACATGGTGTCCTTAACTTCATGTGTGCAATGTAAATGTTAAGGACATATTATCGTTAACTTGTATTTGCAACTTCTGTTGTTAAACTTTAGGACATCATGTCCTTAACTTCATACGTATAGTATAAATGTTAAGGGCATGGTGTCCTTAACTTCATGTATGCAATGTAAATGTTAAAGACATAATTTTCTTAACTTGTATTTGCACCTCCTGTTGTTAAACTTTAGGACATCATGTCCTAACTTCATATGTACAGTGTAAGTGTTAAGGACGTGGTGTCCTTAACTTCATGTGTTCATTGTAAATGTTAAGGACATAGTGTCCTTAACTTTATGAGTGATGTGTAAATATTAATGATAAAGTGTCCTATATTTGCACCTTCTGCTGATAAACTTTAGGACATCATGTCCTTAACTTCATATATGCAGTATAAATATTAAGGACACGGTGTCCTTAACTTCGTGTGTGTAATGTAAATGTTAAGGACATAATATCATTAACTTGTATTTGCAACTTCTGTTGTTAAACTTTAGGTCATCATGTCCTTAACTTCATATATATAGTGTAAATGTTAAGGACATAGTGTCCTTAACTTCATGTGTGCAATGTAAATGTTAAAGACATAGTGTCTTTGATTTCATATGTGCAGTGTAAATGTTAAGGATATGGTGTCCTTAACTTCATGTATGCAATGTAAATGTTAAGGACATAGTGTACTTAACTTCGTGAGTGGTGTGTAAATATTAATGACATGGTGTCCTTAACTTCATATGTGTTGTGTAGGTGTTAAGGACATAATATCATTAACTTGTATTTGCAACTTTTGTTGTTAAACTTTAGGACATCATGTCTTTAACTTCATATGTGCAATGTAAATATTAAAGACATGATGTCCTTAACTTCATATGTGCAGTGTAAATGTTAAGGACATGGCGTCCTTAACTTCACATGTGCAATGTAAATGTTAAGGACATGGCGTCCTTAACTTCACATGTGCAATGTAAATGTTAAGGACATAATATCATTAACTTGTATTTGCAACTTTTGTTGTTAAACTTTAACACATCATGTCCTTAACTTCATATGTGCATTGTAAATATTAAGGACATGGTGCCCTTAACCTCATGTGTGTAATGTAAATGTTAAGGACATAATGTCCTTAATATTTTGCACATCACTCATGAAGTTAAGGACACCATGTCCTTAATATTTACACATCACTCATGAAGAAAGGGTAAAAAAGACTTTTCGTATCAATTTTAATAGAGTAGTGACTATTTTTGCTCAACATTAAAATTATTGGCTAAAAAGTAAATACCACTTTAAAAAGTGACTATACCACATCATTTCTACTAAAATAACCCTCAGTTATTGATAAAGTTTGAGTTTAGTCCGTTTGATATTTGACTAAATATATTTAATTTTTAATTAGTTGAAATGTGGACTTTTCATCCCTTTGCTTGTGGATATTCACAAATTTACCATAATTAATTATTGTTCAAACATTTAGCTAGCGTTTGGACAGATTTGATTGAAAATTAAAAAAAGACTTTATGAAGTTGTGTTGAAAAATAATTTTGAAAGTTAAAGTTGTATTTGTACAACAACAACAATAACAACATACTCAGTATTATCTCACCCCGTGGGGTCTGGGGAGGGTAGTGTGTACGCAGACCTTACCCCTACCTTGCGAGATAAAGTTATATTTGTACATGCATTTTATTTGAATAAAAGTTGAAGTGGTGTGAGTGGAAGAAAAAACTTCACCCAGAAACTGTCCTAAACAAGTTTTTGGAAACTTGAAAATTTTTGAATTTTTTTTTCCAAAACATAATTAGTGGCAGAGTCAGGATTTTTATTAAGAGCAGTCAAAATATAAAAAAACAAGCTCACCAAGAAGTCAAGGGGTGTCATTATATAGTATATATACATATTTTTAAAAAAATTACCGAGTTAAAAAGTGTAATTTTCTGACGAATGAGTGTCGGTTGATATCCTTGGATACATGTGGCTCTGCCACTGAACATAATCATATTTCATAAACTAACAATATTTAAAAAAATATTGAAAAATTGAAGCCAAAATCTATGACCAAACGTGAGTTTATTTACATATATGTTATATTAAACTTGTTCTGTTCATATTTGATGGCTACTTCTAAAAATAGTCCAAATATATTACTATGTGTTCCTATATAAAGTGATCAATAACATATATATTTATTAATTAAAGGTTAAATGTGCTTAGTCATAAATCACTACCCAAATCAGAATTTACCACTAATTGAAGGAGGGAAGTACTATTATCCCAAAATATTAATATGGAAAATCTTTGTTTATTACTCCCGCCATTTCCAGTCATTTTCCGCGCCAAAATTACCCACAGCCAAAGCCCTTAAAATTAGCGACTTCTTCACTAAAAGCAAGAGAAAAAATGGAAGCCAATGTGACCAAGCTTTTTGATGTCCCTATCACTGTTTCAAACCCAATGCTAAGAAATTTCAAGAATGAAAAACAAAAGATCGTTAAAAAATATGTATTTGTCAAGTCTGATTGTGATTGCAAAAGAAGAGGAGCTTATGAAGTCACAATTATGGACCTACCAAGGGCGATTATGGTGGAAATTCTCTCAAGATTGCCAATCAAACCCATTTTCCACGCTAAGAGCGTTTGCAAACGTTGGTATAATCTTATAACTTCTGACCCTTTATTTGTTAGCATGTATCAAACAAGATCACTTAATTTTCCTTGCATTTTGTTTTCGGTTAATTGCCTTAAAAGCTTCAATTCTTGAACTCAAAGCGGGTTATGATTATTACTCTCTCCCCCGAAATAGGCATGTTATGTTGAGTCCTAAGTTTCACCTCCCTCCACCAAAACCGAACATTGGTGGTTTGTATGAACCAGCGCTAGAAAAAATTGGTTCGTGTAATTGGTTTATTTGTATGTTGGATGGTGATAAGTATGATGAAAATCATTCGATTTACATTAGCAATCCTCTTTTGGGCGAGTATTTCAAGGTTAAACTGCCCAAATATGAGAAAAGAGTTCGTCATGTTGCTTATGCATTCTGCTTTAGTGAAGGCTCTAGGCAGTATAAAGTATTGAGATCAGTAGTTAGGAGTCGTCCTAAAGTATCTGAATTGGAGGTTTATACTCTTGGAGTTGATGAGAAATGGAGAAATGCGGGCAAAGCTCCTTACCCTCTATGTGGATCGTTTCGTCTTAGTGCTAATGTGAATGGTGCTCTTCATTGGCTAGATGATGAACGTACTAAGAAAAGTGCCAGCATTTACTCCTTCAATATTGCGACAGAAGAGGTGAAGCCCGTGCCAGTTCCAGTTGATTTGGAGACTCCATCCTTTTGCTTGAGGCTAGTAGAATTGGGGAATTGTTTGTGTTTGCCTGATAATAGTTATATGACACATGTTGATATATGGTGGATGAAAGAGTATGGAATAGCTGAATCTTGGATTAAAGATCGCATTTTGATGGATTCTATTCTGCCTGGTATCCCTCGGAGTAATTTCATACCAATCATAATTTGGAAAGATGGAGAAATTTTGATGCAAAGCGAATATGCCGCACAGCTAGTATCTTACAACCCAAAAGAGAAGAAGTTTAGGAAGGTCAACGTTTATGGTAATGGCTCTGCAGCGACTAGATACATTCCAAGTTTTTTCTCACTCAAGACTATCGTGGGGGACAGCTTTCAAGTCTCAAATGTTTATCCGAAGAAGACTGAGATAGTTTAGTATTTGTTTTGTCTTACGTTCTTCGGGATATGATGTTTTGCTTATAGTTTCTGGTATAGTTTAGTTTAAAACCCGGCAACTTTTACTGTTTTGTGGATGCTTTTGTATTCTGGAAGAACAACTCTGCCTATATAAGCATATGTCGTCCATTTTAACACTCCTGAATTACTTGCATTGCAAAGTTCCGAAGCTGCATTTCTTCTATTCATTTCATTCTGCACTTGTGTGAATAGAATGAACTACGAAGGAGCAAAATGTTGGCCTACCAATCAAGCATATTTACTTTGAAGAAGTGCATTTTCATTGAAAAGGGGTACTTTGATGGCCTTGTTTGGGGTAAATGAGACGTGAATTTTGTAAAGTGAAGGGGGTGCATCAATTGGAAGAAGTCACATTTCAGTTAAGTCCTGATTTTTTAGGTAGTTCTGTCCTAAGTTGGTGATTTTTGTTGAGGTTTTTTGTTTTTAAGATGAAATAGTCTTAAAATGAGGGTGAATGGGAAATTGAGGGAAAATGAAATTTTTGAGTAAATTTTAAGTTTCCCCCTCTTGACAATGAGACATTGTTCCATATTGGAAGAGGAAAAGATTTTTGGTGGGTATATATATAATTGCTCTTCTTGTAGCTCTTAAAGAGTTAAGAAGAAAGCAAGCCTCGCGCCGTCGTCGTCGCTCGCTCGGCTCGGCTACGGCTATGGCTACGGCTTCGGCTTCGGCTTCGAATTTGGATTTTTTTTGGACCAAATTTATTTGTTAATAGTAAATATTAACGTAAGATTATCCGCATTTGTAACGGATATTTTTCAATCCGTGTATTGACCACAAGGCAGCCCGCCTAATGCTCTTCCCATCATGAATGTGCTTGCTCCACAAACAAGCTAATGCTTGCTCCACCATGGAGGGTGGACGATTGTTCTTCTTCAACACTGGCTGCTATATATATGTGCAGCAGCTGTTGAAGAAAGACACACAACACACAATACACAAGACTGAAATCGCTCAACAGATTTGGCTATACATTGCATTCCTTCCTCTCAGCATTTCCATATGATTTTTTGAGTTTCTACTTCTTCGTTCTGCATTGTTTTTAACTTCAAACAAAGCAACTGTAAGTGTGATTTGCTACCGAACTTTGTGTTCGCTGAAACACTGGGGTTTGAAGTACCGCTACACCAGTGTGTGATTCGTTCTATCCTGAGAGGAAATAATCCATTACCTTGGGTACTAGGAGGGGATTAAATTCTTTAAGGAAACACTGTGAATTCAGTGGGCTCGAATTAATTACTGTTTCATTACGATAACTTATATTTTGCAGAATTATTATTTACATATACAGCAATATTGGCGGGACTAACAATTTTCTTGAGCAACAGGCCTATAGTCAAGCTAGCCATTTCCACTACCTATTAATCTTCGAATGAGCAAGTTTTCTATTTACATAGTAACGTTCTATTTGAGCACGAATCTGCTTGGTTTAGCTTGAAGCTATGTCCTATTCTATTCTTTCCTTGTTTTTGTGTCAAACTTCAGTTTTCACGGCTCTCTTTACTGCCTTCAATTTTCACTTTTGTCAAATTGACAGAGTAACTCTTTTAATCGCAGTTCTCTAATGATTTCAGCGATCATGCATACTACGATTTTCCGCTATTTCATGTTTTCTTGTTTAGGCTGTGGTACAATCTCTCATAGCTTCAATCTGTTATCTGTTTTGGATATTTGATGATATCTAAAGTTGATAAATATGATACTCTGCTTAAACACAGAGAGCACTATTGGATCTATATAACATTTTACTTTACCTGTCATTCTGATAGCTTAATGATGGTACAATAAGTCTGATCATGAACTTTTCTGATACATATGCTTAGCAAATGAAGTAGTTTGAGATCTGTAAAACAGGATTACCAGTGCAAGAGGATACACTCAAAAAATTTGTCAGCGCATTCTGTAGGTTTTTAGAGAACCTGTCACACATCGGTTGTGTTAAGATTTCTTTAAGACTCCAAAGGATAGTCCGGTGCACTAATCTCCCGCTATGCGCGGGGTCCGGTGAAGGGTCGGACCACAAGAAATATTGTATGCGGCCTTACCCTGCATTTCTGCAAGAGTCTGTTTCCACTGCTTGAACCCGTGACCTATTCGTCAAATGGCAACAACTTTACTAGTTACGCCAAAGTTCCCCTTCAGTATTTTTAAGACTCCATGGTAGAAAAAAAATTGCAGAATATGGGGACGAAATAATCCGTCCTTGATAGTATAGTCATTGTCCTTCAGGAATTTAAGCATACCACTTTCGTTGCTACAACGATTATTCCACCAGGATTCTACAAAGCCTATTAAATTCGAGTACCGATAATTAACTCGAATTTCCACTTAGAACAAGCTCTGTGAGTTATAGATAACAGTAAGAAAAGACGTAAATCTGTTGCTTTTTGTGTTGTGTTTTTGTTTTGGAGAGGCAAAGGGTATTTATAAACCCTTTAGGTGTCCGTTAGAATCAACAAACTCAACCCTTGTGAACATGCAACTTTAAAAAAATGATTTTATTAAATTATAAAAATAATAGGTGACTAAAAATATTAATTTCGGACTACTTAAAGTGCCCTATATGCCCAATCTTATCTTAACTATTAATACAACAACAACAACAACAACAATATGCCCACTATTATCCACACTGTGGGGTCTGGGGAGGGTAGTATGTACGCAGACCTTACCCCTACCTTGTGAGGATATAGAGGCTGTTTCCAATAGACCCTCGGGTCAGGAAATCATAAGCACCATCTTAACTATTAATAATACGGCCAAATTCTAGTTTCTCTCCAAAAAATCTTTCAAAATATTTAAACCTTATTAGACAAAGAAGTGTTTATAAACACTTTTTCCTTTCTTTAGTTTTCCAACGAGGGACAAGTCTCCTTCTCCTAAAAGCTAACCCATCAACACTAACTAATCTAACACTCCAAATATAGTGTCACGACCCAATTTCACCTATAGGTCGTGATGGTGCCTAACACTACAACCAGGCAAGCCAACTAGTAATTTAAACCCATATTCAATTCTTTTAAAATTAACCGAGTAATTGAACTCTTCTTACTTGCAGGAATTTAGTAAATTAAAACAACCAAGAACAAAATTTAAATCCAAACATTCTATTAGTGTGTGTGCCAAGACCTGGAGTCACAAGTGTATGGGCATCTAGTAGATTATACAAACTCCAAATACTGTCTAAAATAAAATAAACAGAATGCAAATACAAGAAGAGACACTAGTAGCTGCAGAACGGCTCAGAAAGGCAGCTTACTACTACGCCTCTGGATAACGTGGATGTGCGATGATAAGTCCTCCACTAGTGCCTGTCTCAGATCCTGCACAAAAAGTGCAGTAAGTATAGCATGAGTACGTAAACAACGTGTACCCAGTAAGTATCAAGCCTAATCTCGAAGAGGTAAAGACGAGATGGCCGATTTTGACACTCACTATGGGTCAATAATAATAATTGAAATAAAACTAGAATATCTAAATCAACATGATTCACAGAGTTAACAATAATTTATTTAACCAATAGAAATAATTAAATTTCTTCAAATGCAATAATTTTTAAACTATTAATTAAATTCACAAACTGCAATTGAAATGCCAAGGTATCGTATAATTATCATTATTGGGCATGATTTCTGCCGAGGTCGTACGACCCGATCCAGAGTGTCGTGTACGCTGCCGAGGAACGTGCGGCACGATCCATAGATGCATCTATTCTGCCGAGGCGTTCGGCCCGCTCCACAAGAAATGAGGACATTTTCTTATGTACCTCCAGAAGGAGAGTATATTTATTATAAGATCAATTCGAGAGGATGAATAATTTCTTTAACAATTAATTAAATTAAACAAAAAATTAAGCATATGATATTTTCACCTTTTAATAATTTCTCTAACAATTCACAATATATACCAAATAATTTAATTAAATAACGGATACAATTTACACAAGTAATCCATACTTTAAGTCAAAAATTGCCCAGACTTTTAGCATTAATAGTTGCTACACACGGACTCTCGTCACCCCGTGCTTACGTAGCCCCCACAATTAGCAACAATTATTAATTTAATTACCTATGGGGTAATTTCCCCCTCACAAGATTAGATAAGAAACTTACCTCAACTTGCTCCAATTTAATCCACTAGAAGGCCTTTTCCACGATTATCCAACTCTGTTTGGCTCGAATCTAACTAAAATAATTCGATAGAATTACTAAAATTTATAGGAATCAATTCCATAAGTAAATACTACATTTTTCAATAAAAATCCAAAATTAATTCAAAAATCGTCCGTGAAGCCCACGTCTCGGAATCCGACGAAAGTTACGAAATATTAATGCCCATTCAACCACGAGTCTACCCATACCAAAATTACTAAATTCCAATTATAATTCGGCCCTCAAATCTTCAAATCTATCCAAGAGGGTTTTCAAACTTTTCCAACATAATTCACTAATTAAATGATAAACACAGTGATGGATTCGGGTAATTTAACCAATATTGAGTTAAGAACACTTACATCGTTGTTTTCTCTGAAAATCTCCCAAAAATCACCTCAATCCGAGCTCCAAATCGTTAAAAATAAAAAATGGGACGAAGTCCCATTTTCAGAACTTAAACTCTCTGCCCAGTGATTTCTTCTACGCAATCGCGAACTTCCTTACGCGATCGCGAAGAACAATTTCAACACTGCCCAAAATTAACTCTACGCGATTGCAGAAAGTCCCACGCGATCGCGAAGCACTGACCCCGCAAACCTACGCGATCGCGAACCTCCTCACGCGATCGCGAAGCATTAAGCGCGTGGCTTAGATCCTCCCTCCGTTCCTCTTCGCGAACGCGGCCTTAGCCACGCGTTCACATAACACAGCTCACCCAACCTACGCGATCGCGGACGAGCCCACGCGATCGCATAGAACAATTTTCCAGCTGCCCAAATTAAGCCTACGCGATCGCAACCCC